ATAGACCATTAAAACATAGCAAGGCAGATTTCTTTCTGCAATATTCAACTTCAATCTAGAGCTGTCTCCTGCAGTACTTTTGTGATGGGCACCAGTTTGTGGCTGGACAGTGATGGAAAAGCAATATAGTGAAGCTCTTATCGCTAAAGATGTCTGGTTGTCAACATCATTCAACCCATTTCCTAGAGTAGAGGTTGTCCCAGACCTGCCCCTAACCCTTGACAGTGAAGCGGGAAGCTGCAGTTGCGCTTTGGTGCCAAACGTAACCAACTACAATGCCCTTCTTACAGTCTCAGTTGTGCATGTTTCCCTATGAGACTGTGTAGAAGGGGAGTGTCCATTCCCTCCACTCGGGCCTCAGATTACACTCAGCTGAGCTCATTTCTATGTCACACTGCTCTCTCCTCCTATTGGCATGCTCCTTGTCAGCACACAAACTGATTGGTTCCTTGTACTACTTCTCCTTCTCACACTCCTGCTTTACAGGGGCTACCAGAGGCTGATGCCAGGTCACATTCAGGTGCCTACACTGCTTGCATTTAAAACACATTTAATTATGTATGTGCGTAGAAAGTTAACAACGCCACAAAGTCTCCTGTGCTCAAAAGTAGTCTCCACAGCTTGCAATAGGTTAGGTGTATGTCAGGAAATGCCTCACCTTGCTGTTCTCTCAAGACTGGGGGCATCTGTGTAAACTGGACAGAAATAGAAAGGAAACAGATGGACACCGGCCTAGTGCATTATCTTCAAGGCTTCACTTTATCAGTCTAAAATATGGAAAGTATCACACTCACAAACCAACAGATGTGTCTCAGCTTATCACAATACAGGTAAGATCCAGCTCACGAAGCTTGACAACTGATGGCACAAATGCAAAGAACCAACTTGGCTGATGCATTTCGAGGCCTTGCCCCTTCCTCAGCTGAGGAGAAGCATCTGTTGGTTTGTGAGTATGATACTTGCCATATTATAGATTAAAAAAGTGAAACCTTGAGGATAATGAACTATTTTTTTAAATATGTTCTTCAGATTTTTTTTTTTTTAGCATATAAAAAAGTCATTTTAACATATATGTAAATACCTTCCAAAAATGCAGATTTGTATTTTTAAAGACATACAGTATATTTGAAATGTATTTTAAAAATATTTTTCATATATTTTGTAATAAAAACACATTTCAACAGGCTATATATACATATAGATATATGTACGTATATATTTATTTATTGGAAATATATTCTGAAATATTTTGAATATGGCCAAAGTTGTAGGATTTCAAATATATAGCAATATATTTGGGAAGAATATTTTTAAAATATATTTCAAATATATTTTTCTTCCATATGGGGGATTTCAGCTTTAAGAAAACCCTATTACTATAAATAATGGTATAACACATACAACTACTAAACAAGCCATGTTGTAATTTAATTTCAGTAGAAAAGGTGACATTGCAATCCTTTTGGTGAGATCCCAGGCACAGCACAATGAGGCATCATGTTCTTGTGAGGTTTGAGATACTTAATGGGGGAGATTTACTAAAACGGAATGGTACAAAATCTGGTGCAGCTCTGCATAGAAATGAATCAGCTTCCAGAATTTATTGTCAAAGCTTAATTGAACAAGCTGAAGTTAGAAACTGATTGGCTCCAATGCACAGCTGCACCAGATTCTCAGTGCTCCAGTTTTAGCAAATCTCCACCAGGTTCTCCTTGGAAGGATAAAGACATGGGTGGAAGCCAGTTGTAATGTAAATATATTTTCTCACATTTTTTTTTACAGTTATCAGATGGTAAATTATAAAGGGGGGCTGGCCTAGTGCAATAAGTAGAGTTTGCCTTTTGGTGCCTGGTCCTTTTGTAGGCCTCATGCACACTGGGTAGTCCTTCAGCCCCTAGGATCACCTTTACTCCTTGTAGGAACAAAGTTGCTAAAAAAGCCGTATTCTGCACATGCATTTAGGCACATCAAGCATTTGAGCATTACTGCATTCAGTTGGCCAGAATATTAATTTGTCATGGCCTTCGGGACGCATTAATGCTCAAGTGCTCAAACATGCCTAAACGCGTCAAGAGTTTAGATGCATTTAGATGCATTTTACGCACCTCAAATGTTTTTTCTGCCCAAAAGCTCTTCTCCTGAATGTTCATTTGATTTTATTTTTATTTTCAGCCTGTTAACACTGTTCTTTTAAAATGCCTATAAAAATCTATGCATGCGGATACATAACCTACCATAGTTACATAGTTAGTCTGGCTGAAAAAAGACAAAAGTCCATCCAGTTCAACCATAGTAAAAAAAAAAAAGTGTAGAGATGCATTTACAGGCTGGAAAAAAAAAAAATGCCAAACTCCTATAAAAGTGCAGTTTTGGAAGCTCACTGTGCTTTAGACATAAAATCTATCTAAAGACAATTTTTTTTTTTTACATACAGTTTGGAGGTTCACCCTCCCTGGTTATCATGACCACTGGTTATCACTGGGACTGAAAATGAGGAATATCCAACATTTTTAAGTTATCACTGAAACAAAAAGAGAGGGTACAAAAAACAAACAAAAAAAAACTGAATGAGTTTCAACTCTTCTTTGTTCTTTATAAAATTAAATTAAAAAAAAAACTTTACAGTGATATTAAATTCATTTTTAAAAAATAATAAACATGTCATATGTACTTGCTCTTTGTAATTGTTTTGCACAGAGCAGCCTCAATCCTCCTCTTCTTAGGTCCCTGCTGGCAATCCTGGCCCCTCCCTTCTGCCAAGTGTCCCCCAGAGCACCCAAGCTGGCTCGCTCTCGAGCCGCTGCTCTTTGTGTCCATTCACACACACAGTGCGTGGCTCGGCTCTGCTCCCGCTCTCTCCTCATTGACTTACCAGCTGTAATTTACAATATTAGCCAATGGCTCAGTCAACAAGGAAGGAGAGTCCTGAGAGAGCCGCTGCTCCCATGCACATCTCTGGATTGTAATGGGGCTCAGGCAGGGACGGACTGACAACTCATGGTGCCCCCGGGCAATAGGGGATCATGGGGCCCCTGTGTCCTTGCCCAAACTCAAAAAAGCCTATGAAAAAGGTACCAGGGGCATCTCATGGGGCCCCCTACTGACCCCAGGCCCTTAGGCAGTGCTCGAGTTTCCAAATGGTCAGTCTGCCCCTGGGCTCAGGTCAGTATGGAGGGGCTGAGGGGGGACTGAAGGGGCTGCTGCACACAGAAGGTTTTTTACCTTCATGGATGAAATGCATGAAGGTAAAAAACCTTGAGCCTTCACAACCACTTTATTTGCAAGCAGCAAAATGGTTGTGTGTTTCATGGGGAGTGATAAGTACATAAACGTGCTAAAATTTCAATCAAATCTCGCCTTCAAAAAAAAAAATCAAGCTCATTTTCAAAAACTAAAAACATACTAGGCCAGCTAAACTTATGTCAGTACACTGAAAGCAGATTTTTATTTTGGATGTGTCAACTTTTCACAAAAGTCTCACAATCTGCACCAAAAAAAAGTAATGGTTCAGAACAAGAGTTTGTCAATATTTGGCACAATGGTGGTGTGCAGTATTGCACCAAGAGGATGATGGGGCAAGAGAGTCAAGCTCTTCTCTTCTGCTTCTAAAAAACAAATGTGCCGCAATATAATCGTTTTTGGGAAATGTATTGCACCACAGTTAGAAGTTCTGTACGACACTTTACATTCCTCTATAACCGCTAATAGTTTATTGGGTCCTCTAAGAAAGTAGTCAACCTGAAAAGATCCTTTTCCCTCAAATTCTTCTCTAATTATAATAATTAAAATTGTATGGAATGGTACTGCGTCTGAGCACCACAAACCAAAAATGCTATTGAATTCATTGTTAATATTTAAAGCAAACTACCCCATCCATTCATGTCTCCATCATTTTGAAAACCACCCCCCCAGCATTTCAGGCAGTGGCCATCTTAACCAATTCAATACCGGGCAATTTTACACCTTCCTGCCCAGGCCAGTTTTCAGGTTTCAGCGCTCTCACACTTTGACAATTGCGCGGTCGTACAACATCGTACCCAAACTAAAATTTTATCATTTTCTTTACACAACTAGAGTTTTCTTTTGGTGGTATTTAATCACCGCTGGGGTTTTTATTTTTTTGCTAAATTAACAAAAAAAACCAAACTTTTGAAAAAAACACGTTTTTCTTTGTTTCTGTTATAAAAGTTTGCAAATAAATAATTGTTCTTCATAAATTTAGGCCGAGATGTATTCTACTACATGTCTTTGGTGAAAATAACCCAACTTAGGATGTATTTTTTAGTTTGTAGGAAAGTTATAGAGTTCACAAACTATGGTATAGATCTGAATATTGATTAATCCTGAAGTACTGACAGCCAATCTAATTTCTTGAGGTCCAAGAATGTCAGAACAGTACAGATATCCCCAAATGTCAGAACAGCACAGATCCCCCAAATGACCCCTTTTTGGTGAGTACACAGTCCGACGTACTTCAAAAGAGGCATGGCGAGTTTTTTGAAGTTGTATTTTTTTGTCATAATTTTTCGGAAAATGAAAAAATTAAAAAAATTAGTTTCACTATTTTTTTTTTTACATACTGTCACCAGTGCAGTACAGCATCATCATATAACTAGAATGGTGGCGGTGATCAGTTTTTTTTTTTTTTTTATTACTTTTTTTTCTATTTTTAAAGTATTTTTTTTTTAACATTTTACTATGACCCAAAGTAGTGGTAACATTGTACTAAACTTTTGGGGGAAGTGATCAGTATTTTTTTTTTTTTACACAATTTTGCTTATAGCAAAGAATTACTTTGCTTATAAGCAAGCACATTTACCTGAATGACATCGATTCATTCAGGGTTTTTTTTTTTTTTTTGTGCTTAGCTGTGATTTGGCCACAGCTAAGACACATGACATGTGCATGTGATTAGCTGTGACCATTCACAGCTAGACACTAGTTTACAATGAATGGCATGAATGAAGCCATCCATTGTATACAACTGTCATGTGACCTGCTGTGATTGGTCACAGCAGGTCACATGGGTACCGGCGGCAACGGGGGCCGGTACTCAGAATCTGTCATCCGACCATGTCCGATGGTACAAGGCAGGGTGACAGATCGCGCCGCTGCGCGCACAAGGCAGGAATTGAGCGCAAACTGCGCATGTGCGGGAGGAACGCCATATGGCGTCCACCCTGAATGCCAGATGACATTTTCCCCGGCCGCCATTCAGCCATAGGGCGGGTGGTGGCAAATGGTTAAGTTAAGGGCAGATGATTCATGTAGCATTTACTTTCTGGAATCCATCTGCCCTTAGCTCAGGCATTGCCTTGAGCTGAGAACCCTCCCTCCCATCCTGAAGCCTGCTGGGATGTATGACATCATTTGTCTAGGCATGGAAGCCAGGAAGTAACTGAAAAAATGTAAAAAAAAAAAGTTGAATTTTATAAATAAGAAAATACTTTCCTATTTTACTAATGCTATCAGCATAAAGATTAAAAATAGTCCCATGTTGATTGAGAGAGTGAAGTTCCGCTTTATTTAAAATTTTTTCAAGATTATTAAAGGTGTTTTCTTGTTCATCAAAGTTGTCTCTAATTCCTAATGTCTCAAGATGTGCCAATGGTTCTTACCAGAAAAACAAATTAATAGAGTATCTGTTTTTTTGGGACAAGAAACATTTTCAATATATTCACTTAAATGAAAATACTTCTCTCTCAAGCTGGTCAGGCAAATGTTAAACAAATCGAAGCCATGTTTCAAAGGCAGAGAAAAAAATAGTTAAAAAAAAGGTTGGGTTTAACAACAACAACAACAACAAAAAAATCTCGACTTTGTAACTCAAATGTCAGTCTTCACAGTTCAGTGACTCTCTGTAAATGTTACAGGCTGTCTGGGTTTACCTTTGAGCAGAGAAACAGATGGGTTTCCAATGCTGATCTTTCTGGCCCTATCAACAAATGGAGACAACAATCCTAAAAGTTTGTGGTCCTTCAATGGAGCTGGGGCAGACTCAACAACAATAAAACTGCAATGTTGTGTTTTTTTCAAGCACAGACAAACAAAATACAACCTTGTCACATTAAAACTTTGTGAACTGTTTTTAAATGCTTTTTTGGTATGGTAGCATAACATGACATCAACATTCACTATTACATGCCCTGTGACTCTATAGTGGTTAGCATAACATGGCAGGTTTGGAACGAAGCTGAGCTTTTCAACTGCAGAGCTAAGGGCTCTCTTCTCTGCATCAAACATGGCAGTGTCTGGGAAAGAAAGAAATAAGGGAATACAATATATAATGGAATGGTTTATATTTATAATGATTCAGACCCTCCACTATACCCCACAGAGGAATTGAAATGCAAAGAGAACCAAATACCATTCTATAGCAGGCCCCAAAGCTGCCAATCAAAAAAGATTCCTGCTAATCGCAATAGTTACCCTAATCAAGATTTTTCCTCGTAACACTCTCTTTCCTTTCTTTTCTTTGCCTTTCTCTCTTTCTTTCTTTCTGCTTTCTCTTCTATTTCTTTCTTTCTTTCTCCCTTTCTTTCTCTTTTTCTTTCTCTCTTTCTCTCTCTCTCTTTCCTTCTCTCTCCTTCTCTTACTTCTCTCTCCTCTCTCTCTCCTTCTCTCTCTTTCTCCCCACTCTCTCCTCCTCTCTCTCTCTCTTCCCCCCTCTCTTTTACCCCTCCCCTCTGTCTTTCCCCCCCTCTCTCTTTCCCCCTACTCATCTTTCCCTCTCTCTCTTTCTTTCCCCCTCTCTCTCTTTCCCCCCTCTCTCTTTCCCTCTTTTCCTCCACAGCTCTTTCCCTCTCTCTCTCTTTCTCTCTTCTCTCTCTCTCTCTCGCTCTTTCCCTCTCTATCTCTCTTTCCCCCTCTCTCATCTTCCCCCCTCTTCTCTTTCCCCCCTCTCTCTTTCCCCCCCCTCTCTCTTTCCCCCCACTCTATCTTTCCCCCCCCTCTCTCTTTCCCCCTCTCTCTTTCTTCCCCCTCTCTCTTTCCCCCCTCTCTCTTTCCCTCCCCCTCTCTCTTCCCCCCCTCTCTCTCGCTCTCTCTCTCTCTCTATCTCTTTCCCCTCTCATCTTTTTCTCTCTCTACTCCCCCTCTCTATCCTTCTCTTTTTCCTCCTCTCTTTCCTCTATCTCTCTCTCCCTATCTAATCTCTCTTTCTTTCTTTTTTTCTTTTCTGTCTGTCTGTCTGTCTCGTCTGTCTGTCTGTCTGTCTGTCTTTCTTTCTTTCTTTATTTCTTTCTTTCTTTCCCTAGCACTAATCAAGATGTTTTATCATACACGGTTTCTTTCTTTATATAATGGGATGTTTAATATTAATAATGATTCACGACATCTGTACTACCCCACAGAGGATAATTGAAATATGGCACAATATTTAATTAGTAGCCCAAAGCTGCAATTCAAAAATATTCCTGCTAATCGCGCAGTAGTTAGTAGTTACCCTAACCAAGATTTTCTGGTTGTGGTTCTAAGAAGGAAATAAAGGAAGGAGAAAGACAGACTGTAAACCAGAAAATCTTGATTAGGTGCTCGGAGACATAGTGAAAGAAGGAAAGGATATAAAGGGAATAGGAAGAAAAGACCATAACCGGGAAATTCTTGATTTAGGAGTAACTATTGCGATTTTAGCGTTGAATATTTTTGATTGTACTGCTTTGGGCCGGCTATAGAAACTATTGTCTTTGGCATTTTCATTTCTCTCTGTGGTGGTTAGTGGAGGGTCTGAGTCATTATTATAATATAAACATCCCATTATATGTATTAGAAGGAAAGAAAGGGGAAAAGGAAAGAAGAGGCTGTAACCAGTAAACACCTATTGGCCTTAGTGCTGGGAAAGAGAGTGAGAGAAATGAGAAGAAAATAAAGAGAAAGATAAGATGAGACTGTAACCAGCAAATATTGGTTTAGGGTAACTATTGCGATTAGCGTGATGAGTTTTGATTGGCTTGCCCTTGGGCTACTATACAAATATTGTTCTTTGAAATTTTGCATGTTTCTTCTGTGGGGTAGTGTGAGGGTCTGAGTCATTATTAATATAACAAGTCTCTACTTATATGTTGTTTTTCTATATTATTACCCGTTAATCAGAGAAAAGACCCCACCCACAATAGTTATTATTATAGATTAATAATTTATACAATCAAAAACACCATCTAGAGAAGCCGGAGAGGACCTCCCAGGCCAGGACGCTTTTTGTGAGTGGTGAAGCGGTCATTATTAATTATTAATTTACCCTGTATATGTAATGTATATGTAATATATATATACAGTATAAAACTATATATTATTAATAATATTAACCTCGCCTGGATATCTTCTTAGCTTCTCTGCCAGGAGAGAAGGCTGGAGAGCATTTTGGGCCCAGGTTGCCTGCCTGGAGAAGGGGTCAGGTCATTATTATTATTATCATCACTATTTCACGTGTTATTCACTATAATAATATCCCATAAAAGAGGGACCCATAATTAGAATCAAGAAAAACCAAAGTTGAATATAAAAAAAAATGCCTGACCTGCAGGACTCTATCGTAGCAGAGACTAGCAATATCTTTTCTGCATAACATAAAATTGTTGCCTTGTTCACAATCCTCTGTAAAAATGTACACTGAGCTGTGTGCTGGGGGTGACTGCACTCCTGCACATGACATAGAAGTTGATGTCATCCCATGCCAGCCAATCAAGACAACTGAGGAGAAGATTCTGGTCCAACAAGGGACCTTGAGAGCGTTGGACCATTGGAATACAGGTAAGTAATTTTTTCCTTTATTTCCACCTAACATTCTATTATACGTGTATTACTATAATAATATTCTTTATTTAGATAAGAGCCTCAAGTCACATTATTGTAATTATTATAAGATTTCCATAAATATAAATACGACCTTCTAGAGAGGATCTGGAGATCTGATGGTAGGGTCATATCATTATTTTTATTTTTTCCTCCATTATGTGTATTACTATAATAATTTCAATGAGAGAGGACCCCCAATCCCTATTATTCTCCCATCTATATTTTACTATAATATCCCTTATTAGAGAGAAGACCCCCCCCATTATTAGTATTACTCTGCACATGAATCTATACGTACAGTATGTATAGTGGTTGGTGGGAGGGTTCAATAATTATCATTATTAGTTATGTTTCCGCTCCTAGATTGTAAGCTCGAAAGAGAGGGCCCTCAATCCCTCATGTTTTGCATTGTATTGGTATTGTTCTGTCACCCCTTTGTAATGTACAGCGCTGATTTGCGAACTATTGTCCGATTATAAATTACTGTATAATAATATATAATAATGTATTACTATAACAGTATCCTTTATTGTATGTAAACCCCCCCATTGTTATTTTTAGATTTTATATATACTGTGTGTATATGTAATGTATTTATATGTGATGTGTGTGTATATAATATTTATATATATATATAATATATTATATATCCTAATAGAAAGGAGCTGGAGAACTCTGGGCCACCAGGTACTTTTTGTGAAGGATGACGGAGGGTCAGTGTCATTATTATAGCAATAGTGGTGTGTGGACCCTCCTGAGCTCCAAATAAATGTGTTTAAACAATTTAACAAATAAAATAAAATGAACCCAAACAGCTGCTAGCATAAATTAATCATATACCAGTGATCTAAGTGAATTATAAACCATTATAAATGCTGCGCTACATTCAAAAAATAAAAGTGAATGTGGAATCCAATGACATAAATCAATATAGTGACAATAAAAAACCATATAAAATGCTGCGCTATATTAAACTAATTTAAAGTGAATGTGGAATTAAATAACTTAAATAAAACATATAGCAATAATAATAATAAATATAAAAAATTGTGCTTGTTGTGTCTTTGAGTATAACACAAAATATAATGGCAAAAACACAAACTAAATTCAATACGCATGTGCATAAAAACTGCACATACATATATTACACGTGCCAAAGATCGTGAAGTGAGGTCAATCTAAATAATACACACAAAACTCAAAATCCAAATAATGGAATATTAAGGTGAA